AAAATACTCTGTTGATTGTAGAGATTTTGATTTATTTAATGCCTTTGATGTAATATTTACGAATAAAAGTTAATAAAAGGAGGAACCATGATTAATTTTATTGTAATGTATTTCAAACTTTTTAAGATACTAGTTGATAGTAAAGTAATTTTTAATTACTTTTAATGGCATTGGATTCTATTGTTTTATCGAAAATAACTGGAATGGAAATACTTGTTAAAAAATTCCTCTTTGAAATTCAATTGAACGTTTGAATTTTTTTTTTTCATCATTATTAAATAATACTTTAACAAATTATACAACTACTAAACTTTTGATTATTTTTTAAAAACTCCGTTCAAATGATGTTGAACACAAAAAGCAATTTTAACGAGAAACAATTGCGAGTTGTAATAAAAAAAAAAAATTAAACGAAAATGTTTCTTTATGTTACTAATTAAATTATTTGTAATTGAAATTTCTAAAATGTTTAATTATCATTTTCCAAAGTTTCATCTCCATTTTATTTATATTAGATTATTAAAATAATTAAATTTATAATTAAAAAAAAAAGGTCCTTTAGTTTGAATTTATTCTAGAATAATAAAAGTAATCAATGATTAAACAACAAACTTTATCTCTCAATTTTAAAACTAATTATTCAATAATACATATTAATAATCTATTTCGTTTAACAATTGAAGTGCTTTACCAACTTTCTTTTCTCCTTTTTATTTCAAAATATTTCATCATGAAAATCCATCCGAGTGATTAAAGTTTATTGTAAAATCCACTAGAAACTGTTTCAAGTAGAATTATTAGATTTTGGTCAGACAATCAAAATTGGAGTACTGAAATAATTATTTATGTAATCCTTCAAGTTACAAAATGATATCACGAATTATAAATCTAATATAAAATATATTATTACAAAAAATTTGATAAAACTGACTAATTATAGAATTAATTTTAATCTTTCCTTTTTTAACCCAATCTCTTCTATTATAACCCATCAAATAAATTGAATAATTCAACTGATTAAAAGTCAATTTTAATTACTTTAATAATCAAAAAAGATTGTATGGAGGAAACTTTTGTTTGAGTGTGTGAGAAAAAAAATGGGGAGAATTTAGTTGTGTATTAAAGTGTGAGAATAACATCATCGGTGAAACAATACAACCGACTTTTGACTCTTCAGCTGTCATGCGAGATATTCGGATGGGTGAGAATTCGATTTCATATAGTAAAATTTTATTCTTTGCAATATATAGAAAAAGATTTCCCCACAGACAGTGGAACTTTAGCCCGATATATTTGCCGCTTTCAGATTCGAGCTAAAAAGCCGGCTTGCATCAGGTATCGATTCCCAGAGATATTGGCATCAGAGTATGGAATTTCTCGTCTTTTCTTTCCAACTGTGCTTGCGGCTGTGGGTGCACCGGGTTATTCCTTTCATGCTTTCTTCTTCGCAAATGCATTCGACGCTCATCCGCGTCGGAAGATATTGTCAACGCCTCAACACCCGTTGAATTTTCCCTTGGGCTAGGTATCTTCAAAGATGAAGAATAAAAGCCCCCAAGCTTTTTTCATTGACGATGGCTTCTGGTTTGGGCATGTGGCGCTTTAGTATTTCCACTCGAGCAACTTCAGAAACATCGTTGGATGCGGCCATTGCTCAAAGGACATTTTAATTAGGAGTTTCGACTGTTTCTGGAATTTTTTTTTTTTTTCACTTTCTGTTAACAACTACACTACTACTGCACAAATGAAAATAATAATTCCAGTTGGAACACATATTATTCTATCATAGTTTTAAGTATTTGATTAACTCACGGAACCTCAAATTTATTTTATTATTATTTAATTCAATAATATTGTATGGAAAAAATTCGCAAAGATTAATTATTTTAATAGGACTTTTATTTTTTTTAAATATAATTAAAAAGTTTTTAATAAATAAATATTAAAATTATTGTGAAATTTTATTTCAAACATTTTATATAAAACACTTGAATTTTTATTACTTTTTTATACTTTGTACTAACATGTTTTTTTTTACTGCATCTTTTCAAAAATAAAATAATGTTAAAAATCGAATTTAACAAAAAAAAAAATTATTTTGTTGTATTAAATACTATTTTAGAAAGCAAGATTTTCCATTAAAAAATTAATCGAAAAAAATATTTGCCCTGTAACTGTTGATTACTAATTTTCACTATAAAACTTAGCCTGTGTAAAAAAATTTCAAAGATCTTTGATAAAATACATGGAATAAAAACTTGTTATCAGCGGATAAATTGAAAAAATATATAAAGCCACAGTGAAGCTCCTGTAATTGAAACTGACTCCTATACCGATCGATCTTGTCTTATTTGAAATTTTTCCGATTATTTTTTAGTTTTTTTTTTCACCCTCGCGGCGTTAATTACAACTTGATAACATTTTTCTATATCAATGTAACGCAAACTAAATATACAAATGGAGAAAATAGAATCTAGACAGCCAATTTACTATTACAAAAATATGAAAATAGTTGAAAAAAAAAAAAGTAAATACAATGGGAAATGATTATAGGTAAAAAATACGTTGCATCTGTATTAAGCCACAAGATATAGAACATTCTAACAAAATAACTGCATCAATTCCCGGGACGCAATGTATGTAGGTGTAGGATTAAAGCGAAAAACACCGCATGGAGGTCCCAGAGCAGCACCATGGGTGCTTGGTAAAACGATTCTGTGGTAAAATAATTGTTTTTGAAACTGTGTAACCGCCAGATACCAAAAAAGAATGACGAGAAAGAGATAGAGTTATGTTGTTGTCCGCTTAGTTGAATTTTATTTCACTCGTTTTTACACCAACCCCTTTTTCATATTCTTTCTCACTCCCATTCTCTCAACTAGTCAGTCGCAGACTTATCCGCGATCCATCACCCATAACACTACAAGCTTAAAGCCGTAAGCAAGCTTCGAAAAAAAGCTACATTAAAAATATTCTTAAAAAGAAAAAAAAAGAAAAACAAACATGATAAATATAAACATATAAAAAATATAAATAAAACATTTCAGCTTGTAGAGTAGTCGTTGAAAAGTTGGGAATAATAAATTTGAGAAAATACAAATGGCAAGGAGGGCGTGGTAAAGTGCTCGCAGAGAAGCTTCATTCCAACAGTGAAACGGTCCGGACGTATGCATAAATAGAGCCGGATTGGAATGCACAGGAGTGGAATAGATGTTTTAAAAATATATATATATATATATCTACCAACTATAACGTATTATAGTGAGACAGTAATAGTAAAAAATCAACTTCTATTTTTTATAAGCATTTTTAAAATCCTCTTTTGCCAGTTACTTTTTGTGACGTACCTATTATTGTTGCACTACATTCTTTATATAAATAGACAATTTAGAAATGACTTAATCTAGCAGCATTAGGATCATTATAAGTTTAAGTTGTGAAAAAATAGATTATTTATAAGTCTAAATAACATTAGCATATCTCGACTGAGTGCTTGCGTATATTGTATTCAATAAACTTTAAAAGCTGGTCGGCATAGCTGTTGAAACAAAGATAAGTGTATTAAAGGGATTCTACATTTCCATTTCATAACGTGAGCTTTACTTAAAACGTAGGTGTAAGTTACCGGAAACTATTATGCATAATTTCTTAATCTTTTTTTTTTCACCGACGAATCTTATTTGTAACATTTGCACCTGCTTTTTTTTATTTACTTAATTTTTTATTACATTTATTTGAAATTCTTCTCATTATTTCAAAGCAATAGTCTTTTAAATTAAAATGTATTATTCAAATAAACAATTGATAAATAAGATCTTTGTAAAGAATTAGTCAATTTATTTCAGTTCACATTGTTTCTTTGTGACTGGTGTAATATTATTTAAATTGGAAGGTCGAGAGGTACACCTGATAATAGAAGAATAAAAAAGAATACATTTTGTGAAATGAAAAAATAACTTGATTCATCATGTAATGCATTTTGATGAAGAAAAATATTTTGAATCATAATATTGTATATTTTTATGCAATCTAGTCATTGGAAATAATATTAAAACATCAACTAGAATATATGTCACACGTTATAAATTTAATTTAAAAAAAAAAGGCAATTAAAAAAATAAAAAAAAAACGAAAGATAACATTCTAGTATTTTAATTTTTCTGCAGTCTAATGAGTTTAAATAAAAATATCAACTAACTGACTTATTCAGTATTAATCAGTTAAATTGATTGGTAATCTATTTTTTAAAATAAAATATGCTACTTGATATCCAATATTTACTCAGCTAGATTACAGAATAAATTTCAAGCAGGAAAGAAAAAAAACTGAATAAACAAGGAATAAAGACAATCTTATTCTCTTTCAAGTCAGATGATACGATACTGTAATGTTAAAAGTCCTTTGATGCCTCGATGAAATGAGGTAATTAGTGCTACATATTGAGCAACGCTAGCTTTGACTCTGTTTTAGTTGTATAATACATCCTAGCAATTTTTTCAAGCCAAAGAACATCTAATAGTAATGAATACATGCTTTATATAAAGCTCATAGTTGAACACGTTGTTTTTGCATCTCACTACTGAATGCAAAAGGTCGAGAGCATGCCAATACTCTTGTATTCATCTACTCATTACTTCTTAATTATCTAATAATTATAATTTTTTTTCAAAATAAATTTAAAAGCTTCTTATATCGATAATTGTATCAGTTTAAATAATCACTCCCTACTTCACTGTTTGTAACAGTATTTTTTCCGACATTTTGCTAATTTGTTATCGGCTATTTTATACCTTCATTTAATAAATCACTAATGAACTCTCTTGCTTTTGTTCTTTTATCCTCTGTAATATTGATGAATTTTTGAAGCATTGTACCTTCGTTAATTAAAATTCTAATGAATCAAAATAAAGAATTTCATTAATGGAAAAATCCATGAAATTATTTAATAAGTTTATAATGCTGACTAAAAAATATTTTTAATATTTATTATTTTATCTTACCGCCTTTTGATAGATCTGATGATCCACGTTGACGTAAGCCTGAAAGGAAAAATGAGAATGAATTAATAATGATGTAATCAATTCCATTTACTCTGATTTAAATAATTAATGATTAATGTTTAATATTAACAGATTTTTTCGTTGCTTTCAGTTAGTGAGGAAGAGTTTAAAGTGTAAATAAAACAAGAAAGAGACTGTTTGTTAGCTAACTGTTAAAAAGATAAATAAAAATGGTTTTAAATATTTAACAGATTCTCAATATTTGGATGAAATATTAGACGAAATGCATTGAGCCATACACGATCCAATTTCTCTTGAAACGTGGGAACCTCGGATTCCCCGAAGGTATATCCTTATCTTCAATTCCACGTCGACAGATATTCGCGAATTGGTTGAGAGTCGCAACTTGCCCAGGGCATATCTTTAAGTTTCGAATCCTCCGCGGATGGTTTTGCTCCCGTGGATCACTCTTAGAGAACAAGATTCGCTCTTCAAGCACTACTGTATCAGCCATTTCGTGAATCTCGTGAATTATAAATTTATTATAATATCGTAAAGCACTTTGTCTTTCCTCTTATAATAAAAATCAATATGTAATAAAATTATCGTCACACTGCAAATCGTTGTATTTTATATCAATGCACTTGAAAGTGTTTTAAAATGACGTCACCCATTTGATTAACATTGTAGTTATTTTCTAACGCACTTAGATATTTAAAAACAGTACATGTTTAAAAATCGAGATTTCTTAACTGTTTAAAAATATTCTTTAACAGTTAAAAATTGTATATTAACAATTACACATCGCTAGTTATTGTACAAAAAATATTTTTCAATAGTTCAAAAATTTTGTGATTATTGGAAAAGATAATTTAACCAATGCTTCTTAAATTAAGAGTCATTCAAATCCAATGGATAAAAAGTCTTTTTTTTAAATAAAACTGTATTTGATATTAGTTACTCATCATCGAGAATTTTTTTTGATCCTATCAAAATAAAAGTTAACAACTCATACTAGATCGATTCAATTTTTTCGAGTCGTTTGAACTTAAAAAATATTCAAACGATCTTTTTATTCAAATTTTGTTTTATTGAACTCCCATGAAACCATTTATGTTAGAAATGAAGCAAAATAAAAAACTCAAAGTGTTAATTACACAATCGTCATTTTACGTTTGAGTTCTAAAAGCTTTGAACGACTAATCGAAACTTCTCAAACCTTTCAAAATAATGAAACCCGATATAAGCATGTTGAATATGATTATTTAATTACAATTAACCCGAGCTCGTAATAAATTGATTGGCTTTGTTTTCATGCTCTCTATATTCATCATAAAATAGTTATTAACAAATTAAATTGAATAAGTAAATAATACAAAATAAAAAATAATCATAAAAAATATTCCCACTGAATAAATACATGGCAATACAATAAATGAAAAAAAAAAATTGTCCAATTACACAAATCTTGGAGGAATTTCGTGCAGATTATTATCATTACAGTACTGCAGGTTTGGAAGTTTTCCAGCGACTAACTCTCAGTAACCATAGCCGCGAACTTTTAGAAACGAGACAAGGATGTGCCGCGAACAGGCGTTGAAGCTGCGACGGAAATGTCCGAACTTTTTGGACATAACGTGAAAAGTTCGGAGGGCAATTGCGAAATAAACGGGAAAACCCGTAGAACGAGTTTGTAGAAAACGGATGCTACCTTCAAATATTGATCGATACATACACATATACTCACTAAGATATATATTTGTTATCAATAGATATTTTAGAGTTCCTTTTCCAAAAGTTGTTCGTTTTAATGACAGAATAAAACGAAAAAAAAAAAAATTCTATAAGATTTATTAACTTTGACGATTTTGTTACCCGAAGAAAACTGAATAGGCCCGAAAAAAGCTGAAAACGAAAAAAAAAATCCAATACAGACCCGATTAACGAATTGGACCTCTTGTGGGCCTGAAAAACAATTTCAAATAAAATTCGGCGTCCTGTGAGCCTGAAAAATAATTTGGGCTTGAATCGGGCCTTCTTTGGGCCCATCATTTTTGCTCGGGTAATAGTTTGCAAAGTCTAGAGAAAAAAAAAAACAGTCTCGTACATATTATTCATCATGATTAAATGAAACCCTAGGTTTTTTATAGAAGGTGACTGATAAATGAACTCTCCACAATGTTGGAAGATCTAAAAGTTAAAGGGTTGTAACTTCGAAGGGTTTTTGTTCTTTTTGTTTTTTCTTCAATGCCAGAGCTTGAATTATTTTAATGAGTAAAACACACTCTCTAACACTTGATTCATACCAGCTTCCACGTTAATGAAATAACTTAGAAACACTATCCGTTACTTCATCAATTGGATCTCCTATCGGTCGCTTTCTTCAGCTCTAGCATTCCTTTTTACGTCAAATAGAACATGAGACTCCCATTAAACGAATAATTTTATTCGTAACTTGATATTCTATAATATTGACTATGCTTTGGTATTCGGCTTTTTTATTCTCACTGTAGCCTAAAGATGAAGTTTCTTTTCGATTCTTGCTTTCTATTCTTCATCGTTGAATAAAATGCAATGTATAAAGTTTAATAAACTTCTCACACGATACTTTTTATGCTCTTTTCTTTTTTATCTGTCTTTCTCACTTTTTTTCTAGCCTTTTTCTTAGTCACTTTTCCACTTATCCTCTCCTCTTACGTCATACTCAACTCTTTAAAGAGTTGTCACACGAGGTCGTTAAAAATGCCAAAGAATACTTCAAGTTCTCGAAACTTTATTCATTATATCGTTTATTGTGTCTTGACAAATTTTGTAACAACACTCAATAATACATTTTGAATACTATTCGTGTCTTTTATCAATGATATTTAACTTTTCTAATAGATGGGGAAAATAATCTTTATCTTTATTACAGAGTTTTACTAGACAATTGAATTCTAATTATAACTTTCTTACACTTAGGACATTTTTTTTTTTTAAATACCTTATTTAAAATGACTTTTAAAGTGTTTTTTATGATCTAAAAATTGTATTGTTGATTGTTTTAAGCAGAGAAATGTTATTTTGATAGTAAAAAAATTTTTTGTAAATAATAAAATAAAAATTCTATCATCGATCAATAAAGAAGAAGAGCAAATCTACAGATAGTTACTCTATAAAATTTAAAAGAATATTTTTCACGTCATCGTAACACTGCTTTTCATTACGTAAAAGAAAAAAAACTCGCAGTCGTCAACAATTTTATATAAAGTCCCCCTTTGTCCTGTAAAATAATAAAAAAGTATTGAAAGCTTTACGGAGCCAAGTTACGAAACCCGTTGGGGATACGAGTAGAAAATGGAAATCGAGAGAAATTCTACAAGCTGGTTTCAATATCAAGCTCGTTCTGGGCATTCAGTTACGCAAGAAATACATGACTTTTTATATGATCAATAAAACCCCATGAATGCTGTTTTTTTTTTACTCTTTATAGTTTATTTTCCACTATACCATCTGTACTGAAAACTCACGAGATATGGGCATAGCAATGATCAAAAAATTTTCACCAAGTTACATATCACTCACTTCATCATTCCAACTATATTACTTTTGATAATTGTCTAACTGTGATGAACAAGCTAGCATCTGTGAAATTATAAATTTATTGACTAACAAAAATATCTCATCGTTGATCAATGACTAAATCCACTTTACAACTGGACGTAAAAAATATTTTGGAGCCATCAGGCAACATATAAGCAATCAGACATACTATCTTCCACAGCAATACATTCAGATAAACATGTGAGCTTTATTAAAATGTCAAACTGTAAATATCGAACTTAGGAATTGATTTGAAGAGTGACATAATTATTTTTTATTAGATTAAGAACTAATTGCACCTGTTGTATTGATTTGTTTCATCAAGGAATCAATTCAATGTAGAATTGACAATGGAATTATTGATAAATAAATCTGTTGGCTAATTTGATTTATTTATTTTTTGTGTAATATTGATAAAGTTGTTTAAATAATGATTGATGATTATTAAAATTATTAACCGTAACAAGAACCAACTGGATACTGATTGTAGTCCTTGGAGAACCGAAGGTCTGTCCAGACATCTGTCTATTGGAATAAATTACATGGTATCAAATTGAAGAGATTAGAACAAAAAAGCCTTTTTTTCTCCAACAGTAAAGATAAAATATTATCTAATAATTCATTTTTTCATATAAATAAATTTTCTATTTTTTTCTACTTCATTTCAACATGGAATATTATTATTTTCAAGGGAAATTTATTGATTTATTGCTGACTCATGCTATAAAAAGTAATTAAAAGTCTTGGAACAACTTTATATATCAACTAATCTAGATACTTATTCAAGTCAATAATTGTAATAAATATCAACAACATAATTTATAGATAATGTTATCAATTAAATATAATTAATAGCCCTTCCAAAAGATATATTAAAAGAGCCATAGCAGGTAGAAATAGTCTAGAGAAATATGATGAAGAGTTCAACATGTGGGAATACAAAGTACAACCATCTATCCAACATTTAGCCAACACAATTTAATGGACTATCAACATGAAAGATATTTTTGAGGCTTCAGCAACATAGGAATGTCAAAAGCTATCAGTACAGATAAGTATATTAAGCTCTCGTTTAATCAATGATATATAAATATAGGAGGTTTATTAAAATATCAAACTAGTATACAGTTGGTTGGAAATAACATGGTTAGCATAGGTCAAAGAAAAGCAGAGTATGTTCCGCTGCAGGCATATCCTCTCTGTATAGTAATTGGCTTGTGCATATAGCGACGTATCGGCTCCATGGAATATATCAAGGAAAATTGTAGGGGAAACCTGGTAGGATAGTGATATAGAAGCTTGGAAGGGTATAAGGATGGTGGTGTGGGACGATTAATGCAAATGTCTAACCTATTGGACGATAACCCGACGTAGCAGGATGTCCAGAACCGGATGGACAACAAAAGGGGGTATGAGAGACAGCAGCAGGCCCACTTTGAATTAGTCGCTGGATCCTG